TTTCTTTCTTTCTTTCTTTCTTTCTTTCTTCTTTCTTTCTTTCTTTCTTTTTCTTTCTTTTTTGCAGAACCGGGGATTGAACTCAGGCCTTTGCGCTTGCCAGGGCAGCGCTTATTCTACTGAGCCATCTTCCTGGCCCCCCATTCGTTTTTTAGGCTCGTACATTGTGTTTGGCAGACTGAACTAGGACCTTCACGCCGAGCGAGCCGGGATTGATCTCCCATCTCCCCGGCTCCTTGGCTCTAACTTTTGGTCCTCCTGTCTCAGCTTCCCGAGAGTGTCGAATTCTTAGCGTCAGGGTCCAGCTCGAGCCCCCCCCCCATTCTTCCGTGCGCATGCGCGCGTCGAGGCGCAGCCGTCGGCGTCGGGTTTCCGCAGCTCTGCCGCCTGCCTGAGAGCTCAGGGAGCGGCGGCTGCGACTCTCTCGCGGAGCTAGCCGCTTGCAGCTGATAAAAAAGCGCAATCTCTGCCCCCGGGTGTCCTGCAGCGTCGGGGTAGCCCAGCACCGACTGCGAGACGCTGAGGCGGCGGAGGGGCGCCCGGATCCCCTGGAGGACGGAAGCCCACCGCGGCCTGCCCTGCCCGCCGCCTGCGTGAACCGCAGTAGAAAAGGGAACGTTATTTATTTTGGCGCAGGGTCTTCTCGCTGCACAGTGGCACAGCATGTGGTACAGGGGATTGAACTCGAGCCTTGCGCTCGCCAGGCAGGTGCGGCGGAGCCCGCCAGGCTCTCTCCCCAGCCCTCATTTTGTTACTGGGGATGGAAACTAGGGCTCTCCACCACTTAGCTACATCCCGCCCCTATTATTATTATTAATAATTATTGTTATTATTGCTGTTACTGGTGATCAAATCCGGGGTGCTGTGCCACTGGGCTACCTCCCTACCCTTCCCCATTTTTCCCCAAACCCCTTTTAAAAGTTCATTTTGAAGCCAAGGCCTCGCTGAATTGCTGCCTAGGTTTATCTCAAACTTGTGGCCCTCCTGCCTCAGCTTCCCTAGTAGCCAAGGCTACAGACATATGTACTGGGCCTGGCTTGTACCTCTATTTTTAAATTTTCTGCAGTGCTGGTGACTTATGTTGTTTCTCTGCCTGTGGTTAAGGTCTCCCTGAGTCCTCCAGGAAGGAGTCAGGTTTGCAGGCGGACAGCACAGGGCACACGGGGACAGGTCCCTGCTGTGTGCCACCGCCAGTGGCAGCTCACTCCCAGCTGTGCAACCGACAGAGACCCAGGGGAGCAGGGGGTCGGGACAGCAGGGACGCGACCTGGGCCCTCGGCCTTCTTCCTGGGTGGGCACAGAGGACTAGGCTGTGCCTGTATCGGCTTCCGGGACCTGAAGCTGCTGTCCAGTTGAGGTGTTCAGGGAGGCCCGTCCTTGCCGGCCACACTCAGCACTGTCCGCAGCCAGGTCAGGCACTGCCAGCCGCACGTCCCCGCCATCACTCTAAGAACTTTGAATTGAAATTGACTTTAGTGAATCAGTTTGGAGAGCAAATGCCAGTTGCAGAGATTTTATCAGCAGAACTTGATACAATGGTTCCCTGGGAGGACTTGGTGACCCGGGCACCTTTCAACTTTGTGGCAATGACTTCCTCTTTCCTGGAGCTCTCGGACAGTAACCACTGGATCGATTGCTCTGGCCTGAGATTTAGCAAGGCAGGAATTGTGCTGAGTCAAGGTGACTGGACTTATGGGCTCCCTGCTGCCCCGGGGCAAAAGGGCGCGGGCAGGGATCTGTAGCAGCACTTCCTCCTTTACTAACGTCCACGCAACGCGGAGTTTTGCTTTCTGTGGTCCGGCAGCAACAAGCTGCAAAAGCCTGCTTCTGGGATTGAGTCTCAGCAAAGGACCTCTGAGAGGTGGGCTGGGACCGTGTCTCATCTCCCCTGGTGACTTCGCACAGGGCTGGAGCCAAGGCTTCCTGCTGACCTGCAGTTTTTAGCAAATCTACAGATGCTTGGCAAATGCTGCATGGAAGTCCACCCCCTTACTATGGAACAGAAACATTTCTGGCTCGCCGGAACTCCCCAAGCGCAAATCCGGCAAAAACATGACTTCCACAGGAGCAGCCCTGTGCGCCAGGGTGGGATCCTGTTTGCTTACTAAGAGGGTGTGGAAGGAGCGCAGCACGCTCTTGCAAACTGGAAATGCCCAGCTCTGCCATTCACTTGCTCTGTAGTCCCTGTAGCTGAACTGAAAGCGCCGTTGTATGCTGGGGGCGCGGGGGGGGGGGAACTATTTTGAAAAATGCGCAGCCCCAGCCAGGGGTGGTGGTGCACACCTGTCATCCGGGCGCTCAAGATGCTGAGGCTGGAGGATCGTGAGCTTGAAACCAGCCTCCTCGGTGGCCCTCAGCACCAGTGCTGCTGTCAGCCTGCCTCAAAAACAACCCCAGCCAACCAACCCAGAGGCTCCGAGACCCGATGGCAGAGGGGAGGGCAGCTGATGCGCTCTAGTAGCTGCAAAGGGGCTGTGTGGGGACAAGGAGCCTTCGAGGGGTCCTGGGAGACCACACCAGACTAAAGATGGGGCATCAAGAAAAATCAGAAAAATTACAAAGTGAACTGTGCTGTCAGCTTTGGGAGACTGGGCGAGCCCGGATGAGGTCTAGCTGCAGGGAACAGGCTGCGCTCTAAGACCTAAACCAAGGTGACTGATTATCCAGCTCAAACTGCAAATCCAGCAGAGCTTAAGACTTCTTTTGGTACTGGGGGTCGAACCCAGGGCCTTTGTACTGAGCTATACCCCCAGCCTGTCTTTATTTTTTAATTTTTGGTTAAGGTCTTGCTAAGTTTCCCAGGCTGGGCTTGAATTTAGGATCCTCCTGCCTCAGCCTTGGAGGTGCTGGGTGTGATTACAGGGATGCCCCACGCCCTGGGCCTTCCTGGGCCCACATGGCCCTGCTGGCTCGCTGGGGGCCTGCAGGGCTCGGCTTCACGCTGTCCCGGGCATCTGGAAGCAGCCCTGGTTACAGTGGTCTGGTCACTTCTCCTCTTGAACCTACTGTGCCTCTTCTCACATGGTGGCCCTGAGCACCAGTGCTGCTGTCACCCGGAAGCCATCACTCTGGCTGCTCAACTACATCCTGGCACGGTTTCTAGGTGACTCCAAGCACATCCAAGCTCCCCCAGCCCGGCAGCCTGGGACAAGGGCTCCACGCGGGGGCCTCGTGCCCAGGCGTAACCAGGTCCTCTGTGCCAGCGTCCGCAGCAGGAGAGGGGCCCTGCCTCCTGTTTTGTTTCTTTCTCTGGCTCAAGCCTGGGAAAGCGTGTTGGTACCACCAGCTCCCCCAAGCTTCCACACCTCCCTCCACACTCCCCTCCCTTGGTGGCCGAGTGTCACTGTCCCTGTGGCCACAGCTCATCCTCTTGGCTGGGTGCCGCCTCCTGACCCAACGTGGTGGAGACCTGAGGCTCAGCCTCGGTCCCTGACCCTTCGTCAGAGCCTGCGTCCATGCTGGACACCTGAGCGCAGCTGTTTCCCACACACAGGAGAGCTGCCCAGAGGCCCTGGCGCCCTCCTGCGCACTTCCTCCGGACTCAGGGCTGCTCTCTGCTCACCTCACCTGGGGCTGCTTTCCTCGGCTGTGCCGCCCCAGGCTTCGCGACCTTCATGTTCCTCCAACTTGGACCCTGCGTTTCTGGCTCCCCATTTCACTACGGCGAATCCCAAGTCTTCCTCAGACCTACCCTCGGCCTGGCTGATTCCTGACAGCTCCTGTTGCTGTCCCTTACTGAGTTCATACTGGTGGCCTTGCTGTGCCTGGACCCTGAGGACACTGCTGTCCTAAGGGCTTCACTTTCCTGCCTGCTGAGGCCTTGCCTAGGGACCCCACATGCAGCGGCAGTGACCGGGGTCTGCTGGCACTGTGACCTGGTTCCCACTCCAGGTCACTCTTCACTGGGCTTTTCTGTCCCTTGGGACACTCACCGTCCCGTGCCACAAAGCCTTTTTTTTTTTTTTTAGTATATTAGGGGAGGGTCTATAGGGTGTCCAGGGTATCACTACTAAATTGGATTCGTAGTGATCCACCTGTTTATAGCCTCTCAAGAGCTGGGTGGGGCCAGCACGCAGGCCAGCAGGCTGGAGGGATTAAACCCCGGGTGCCTGTGTGCAGACACTTTAATCCCCTGAGCTATTGGGCCAGCCCTACAAAGCCAGTTACTGAAGGCACTCACACAGCACAGCAGGTGAGGTGGGCACCGACTCGGCCTAGCCAGGCTGAGGATGCCAGTGCTGGTGCTGAGGGCTCCGGCCTGCTCATGGTGGGCACTCACTGGGACAAGCACTGCCCACTGAGCACACTGCCAGCCAGGGAGCTCATGAAATGACACCGACAGGTTTTCAAAGCAGACCTCAGCCCTAGAACGGCCACAGCCTCACTGGCAGCGACAAGGCTCAGAAGCAAACAGCTCTCAAAACCACAACCCAGGGCCAGCAAGATAGCGGAGTGCAGACCACGTGCCTGCTTTGGCAAATGCAGGGGAACAACGGTCCTGCAAGCCGCGCGGCCCCTGGGACCTGTGAGTGGCCCAAACGAGTCTGGGCGGCCCGGGTCTGGGCATGGTGCTGCCCACCTATAATCCCAGTGCTGGGGAGGCTGAAAACAGGAGGATCACTGAGTCCGAGCTGCACAGTGCGACCCTGCACCAAATACATACATGAAAAGAAACAAAAAACCAGCCACAGCATCACTTTGCTCTCCTGAGTATACAGAAACCACCGAGTCCAGCCGCAGAGAGGAGTGTGCAGTCACAGCACTGAGCTTTGATCTGACAGTCACCTTTGCTGGTCAAGCAAGAGTGTGCTGTGATTTTTTTTTCTCTTGAGGCAGTCTTGCTACGTGGCTCAGGCTGCCTTGAACCCTCAGCAATCCTGCCTCAGCCTCACAAGTGCTGAGGTTACAGGTGTGCACCACCACGCTGGGCAATGGATTGCTTTTCGTTTTTATTTTGGTGCCAGGCAGGCACTTTTGCTGCTGAGCTCTCTCTCTGGGCCAAACAGCTTTTCAAAGGATACAGGATACAAGCAAACCACGAGCCCAAGATGCACTGGTTGTACCTTTATTATTTTACCTCGTTCACTAAGAACTCCGCGATGCAAGGTTACCATACACAGTTAGATAATGTCTGCGTTGCGCATCTAAAGGCTATACAGCAAAAGAACCCGAATTAGTACAAATACAAGAACTGTATTTACATTCTGTATACTCAAGCTCCAAACATCAGAGATTATTTACAAAATAAAACATGAAAATGAAAATCCAAAATTAATAATGTACATTGTTGCTAATGTGCTCAACTCCTTCACTGGGGAGAGATCAGTCTGCAAAGTCTTGGTTCAGAAAGGCCACTTATGCTTCATGGGGTTTTGTGACAGCATGTGAGGATGGTGACAAGATGCGAATCTCAACAGACAAGCACTGCAGCTCCACGGAGGCGAAGATGACGCCTTTGACACAAGAAGGCTGGTGGGTTCTAAGGTGACACGCAGCATGGAAAAGGACGAACGGAAGACAAACGCATGGCAGCCAGGCTGGCTACAGCCCATCCTTGGGGTGGACAGCCTGTCCCTGTAGCCACTGTGATGCTCCTAGGCCCCGGGGCCAAGCGCAATCTGGGCAAGCGCGCCCCCAGTGGGCGGCGTCCCAGCTCTGGGTGCAAGCTCTGCGTCAACTCGCTCCTTTCACTGACGGGGCGTCCCTGCGGATTTCTAGGGCTCAGGTACTAAGTTCATAAATGGCCTTCTGAACAGCAGCAGCAACACATCTCTCGGCTGGTGACCTCTGATGTGCTCCACACGGGGCCAGCTGGGGCGCACACCCTCGGGTTCTCCAGTGTCCTCAGCGAACCTTCCAGGAGCAGCAGCAGAGTGAGGCTTCTCTTCCTCAGGAGCAGGTTCACAGTGCCACTTCAGAAAGGGAGCCCAGCCCAGGGGAGGGCAGGGACGGCCCCTCGAGCCCACCCTGGGAGCTGGGCAGGGCAGTATGTGAGCACGTCCTCTGCTGGCCAGGGAGTGTGTAGTTAATGACAGCTGTGCAACTATACTCAGACCTTCGAAGTTACATAGCCCTGGGAATTAGGCGACAAGCAGCAGGCAATGAAGTCTTTGCTTTGAACTATGTGCCAGGAGAACTCATCCTATTTTAGATTCCAGACTTTCACGATGGGCTCATTCTTTCCTCCATCTAAATAAGTTACAAAACCCAACCAAAATAGGACAGCTATGTAGCGGAAGGGGGGTGCCAGATAATGGGGGCTTCTAATGGGGAGGATGCTACCTGGCCGTGAGGCTGGCCGGCCCCACACAGCCCACCGCAGAGCTGACAGACTCCCGGCGGGCACAGAGACTCCCACGGGTGCTGGCGTGGGGTCACCTGCGAGACCACATTCTGCTTTCAGTAAAGAAAGGAGGGTGGGAGTAGAGAGAAGGAAGGGATGGTAGAGTTAACCAGCACTCATCTCTCTGTAAGAAACGCTTCTGTAGAAGAGTTTCTTGTTTCTTTGCTTGTTTGTTTAGGGTTAAGAAAAAGAATTAGTAAAACACTACCTTCAAAGGTGGTTTCCTTAGAGGTTAGGTTTATTCACTTTCCTGCCACCATGGCTACAGCTGGCACCTCCTGCAGTTCCTGCTGGGAACCCTGTCCCCTCCTGTCCCATCCCAGAGCCTGGAAGCGAGCTGGGATCATCAGTCCTGACACTGCTTCTGGCCCATGTGACCGGGCCTGGGGTGCAGGGTGCAGGGAGGGCAGCACACAGGGGCCCTGCAGGACTGCACACCCACTTATGTCGCCTCCTTACAGTCCCGCTGCCTGTGGGTGCCAAGAACATGGCCCAGCTCTGGTCCTTCTGATGTCACATGCCCCCAAAGCAAAGACTTTCCAAGCCAGTTTCATTTGCATTAGAGGAAAGCACAGAAGTGGTTTTGGGGCATCGCCTGTTTCTCCTCCCTCAGGCTCCCCACCTCCCCGCCGGACATGGACCCTCGGGCTCCAGGTCCAACTTCATAGCAGCAGCAGCAACACCAGTGAGTTCACTGTACAAGTAACCTTCTGAGTCCATCTTCATTTCCCTGATATTAGTCTTAGATTTAGTTCCAGCCCAGGAAGCTGCCTGGAAGCAGATCTGAGTAGATGCCAGAGGGGCACTGTGTGTCTTAGAGAACAGAGACTGCTAGCTACATTAGAAACCTCACATACACTCAGAAAATGAAAACATTACAGTCGGTGACCTACATTTTAAGGGGAGAAAGATAAAATCCACCAGAGTTTCTGCTGTTCACTTTTAGCTCAGGGCCGGCTGATTTAGCCCTTTCTACACGAAGCTCTCGGCACTGCCCTGTCCCCCGCTGCCAGGGGCTCCCTTTGCCTCTGTCCTTAGGGATGGCACAGGAGCTCTACAGGGGAGCAGCCCAGCCCCAGTCCCCAGCATGGCCAGGAGCCCTGGGTCCCCTGGAGCTGGAGGAGCACAGTGTTCCTGACGGTGATGCAGCAGGGAAGGGCAGCAGGGCAAGGTGGCATGAGAGGACTGAGAGCCAGGCACGGGACTGCAGTGGCCCAGCCGGGTCACCCTGTGGAACACACTGCAGCCAGAAGAGCTGGCCTCTGTGGTGGCCCAGGCCAGAGGACTCGGTCTGCTGGAGGAAAAGAAGACCTGGTGGTGGCAGCAAGCTCGCTTCCCTTCGTGGGCAGCATCTTCGTGCCACTTGGAGGAAACGGACGAGAGAGAAGCAGACGACAAGCAGAGCGCTGGGGGGCGGGGCAGGGTCCCAGCCAGCCTGTTTCTGTCCCGTGCTTGGTGGCTGCCACATTGCTTCCTGGCGCCTTGGAGGTGGTGTGACTGGGAACTGACACCGCATGCAGAGGAGACGTCTAAGTTTCTGCTGGAAGCTGTGTTTCTTTGATGGAGGCGAGTTGTTACCACTCTCACAAGCCACCATAATGTCAACAAGGATCACTGAGGCCACCACTGGCAGCAAAGCACCCCCCGTGGCACATGTGCACGTGGCATGGTGCCAGGACCCTCAACGATGCCCGGAGGAGACCCCAGGACCTCTGGAGAGCAGCCCCTTTCTCATGGGACCCTGCTGTAGGGAAGCACAGGTGTCTTCTGACCGCTGTCCTCGAGGCCAGTGCCACACTTCTCATGGGCCAGCAGCAGCCACTGTCCTAGGCCTCCTGGAGGCCTCTCTTGTCTTCTTGCTCTAGGACAACCCCGTCACTACCTCCCATGAGTCACGGGCCTCAGACGGTAACTGTCCTGTGTTCACCTCAACCTTGTCCCTGATGGGAATGCAGGGCTGTGCCGTGGCAAAGGGAGACAGCTGGAGAAAAGCGGGTTTCTTGCCTGGGCTCCAACAGGGCCAGAATGGCCTTCCTCAGTCTCTAAGCCACCCAAGAAAACTAAAGTGACGTCACAGAGAACAAGAAAAAGCTACCCTGAAAGACACAGGTATCCAAAGATGACAGACACCAGTGATGGTCATGATGGGGACCTACCACACAAAAGGAAGCCAAAGCGCACCAAGAAGTAATTCAGTGGATAGCCTCACGGGGAGCGGGGTGGGGGGCGTGTGTTCATGTGTGGGGTTGTTTCTGAGTTTTAAAAATCTGTTTTCATTTTGTTAGGCCACATGCTACTAACAAGATTCTCAGCACAAGAAAAAAGAGGAGCACAGAGCCATAGGGATGGGGACAGGAGAGTAGAAAAAGTGCCTGACAGGAGGGCAAGTAGTTAAGCCACAGGTTACATACAAGAGCAGCCATCAAGAACCACAGAGAGAACGAGAGGTAACGCTTCCTTTATCTCCTCCTTTATCTCAGTACTTGGGCTGGCTCGGGCATCTCCGGGCCAGCTTTGACCTGCAGGACAAACAGGAGCAGGGTCAGAGCTCCGGGTCTGTGTGTGCTCTCCTCAGACACTACAGGCCCTGGTCTTCCTGCCTGGGAACCCTGGGGTACTGGGGGCACAAGGCCTTGGGGGCTCTGAGGCTGAGCCACAGGGCTGTGCCCATCTGCAGACCTCTTAAGAGCAAAAAAGAAAGACAAACTGCTCAGCACAAGGAATGTGTTTCTGTTTTTTTGGTGGAACTGGGGATTGAATCCAAAGCCGTTACAGGGAGCCACATTCCCAGCTATGTTCCCTTTTTTTTCGTGTGTGTGTGTGGGGGGGTACAGGGTCTCATTATATAGCTTGGACTCACAGTTATCCTCCTGTTTTCAGCCTCCCCAGCACCAGGATTACAGGTGAGCACCACCACAACCAGACTTGGTGGCCAGCTCAGCACACCCAGGGGTGGAGCCCGCATGGCCTATGGTGCCAGTGATTAAACTCTGGTCCTTGTGCTTGCCTAAGCAGGTACTTAATCCATGAGCTGGCTCAAACTAAAGCTTTTTTTTCTTTCTTTGCAGAACTGGGGATTGAACTCAGGCCCTTGTGTTTGCCAGGCAAGCACTTATTGTACTGAGCTATCTTCCCAGCCCCTAAAGCTTTTTCTTTTCCTTTTTGTTTTGGTGGTACCAGGGATCAAACTCTGGGCCTTGTGCTTGCCAGGCAGGCGCTTATGCTGCTGAGCTATCTTCCTAGCACTTAAAATATTTTATTTTTGAAGGAGCAAGTTATATCATATGCAGGTACAAATTTCATAGGATGAATGTGATCATTATGTGTATCTAAAATACCCCTGGGGGCTGGTAAGATGGCCCAGCAGCCTAACGTGCCTACTTAGGCAAGCTTAGGCAAGCACAGGGACCACAGTTCAATCCCTGGCACCACATACCACGCCACCCCACCCCCAGAGCAGGCTGAGCAGGCCACAGAGTCCAGGCGTGGTGGTGAACACCTGTAATCCCAGTGCTGGGGAGGCTGAGAATAGGAGGATCACTATGAGTCTGAGCTGTGTAGTGAGACCCTGTGACAACCAAATACATTTTTATTTTGTATTTATTTAGTTGTTGTTTTTTTTTGTGGCGGCCTCAGGATGCCTTCAGGGCAGGTCTGGTTTGGCTTCAGGATCTGGGAATCTAACCACAGCATCCTGAGCCTGACCGCTTTGTTTAAGCAGGCACTTAAACAACTGAGCTAATGATCAGGCCCCTTGTATTTTTTACATATTTAGGACAGGGTCTACAGGGTCTCACTATACTTATCGGATCTGAAGTGATCCTCTGGTTTTCAGCCTCCGAAGCACTGGGATTACAGGTGTGTGCCACCATGCCCAGTCTCAATCGCCGTCTCAGTGGGCCCCAGGGGCGGAGCTGACAGGGCACAAGGGGGATTGAACCCTGGCCACTGCACTCTGCCTAAGTAGGCATTTTAGTCTGCTGAGCTATCTAGCTGGCGCTCCAAATAAATTTTTTTTAAATTATTTATTTATTACATTTTATTTAGTGTGTGTATGTGTGTGGCCAGCTCAGCCCACCAGGGGGCGGGGCTGGCTGGCATGTGGTGCTGGGGGATCGAACCGCGGTCCTTGTGCTTTGCTATGCCAAGCTTGTTCCAAGTAGGTGCTTTAGACCACTGAGCCATCTCTCCAGCCCCCAAATAAATTTTTTAAAAAATAAAAATAAATAATAAAATGTCCCAATTAAAAAAAAAAGTAAATTAAAAAAATTTTTTTTTGAGACAGGGCTTCGCTATGTGGCTCAGGTCAGGCTTGAGTGCTTCAGTCCCTCCCTCAGCCCTTAGAGTGCACGAGTTGCGAGCTGTATCGTGCGCTGTCCTGCTCAGCCCACCGAGCTCTTGGGGGCAGAGGCCACCAGCACCCTCCTACCTCCTGACAGCCCTGCCTCCCGCACTATTAACCTAACTAGAACAATGCCTCCCTTCCTGCTTAGGCTGCTGCTGCTGAGGGGAGAAGGGTGCCAGGAAGCGCTGCTCACCGTATCGTGCCAGCCAGGAGCGGGTTGAAGGCATATAACCAGTCGTTCATGTCTTTGTCATTGAGAGCCTGCAGAAGGACCCCGCGATGCTTTGTGCACACGGCAAAGGTGTTGGGCGTCTGCAAGAAACCAGCAGACAGGAAAGTTAGCACAGAGCAGGAGCAAAGGCCGTCACAGAGCTCCAAAGAGAAGGGACAGGCTCATATGGCAGGGGAGGCTGAGAGGGCGCAGCACTGACCTTTACCATAGCCTGCTGGTCCTCACTGTACTCCACCTGGGCCGTGGACAGGTTAATGATGCCACGTTCCACTGGGTCCTTGTCACTATTATAGATGAAGACGTACGGGCGACGGACCACGACGAAATGCTTGGCCCAGTTGCTGGAAAGTGGCTCCTTGAAATGCAGGTATCCTTTCTTAGAGACCACTGAGCTATAAGGAGAGTATGAAAAACTAGAACTTAGTTCCTCACAAAAAGAAGATGGTCACAAGCTGGGGCCCATCCAGGTGGGATTCGCAGAACAGCAAAGCATCGAGTTGGGCCAGATTCCCACCTGCCCAAGTGGCAGGGCAAAAGAGCAAACAGTGCCAGCTCACATGCTGTGCCAGCCCCAGGCGGAAGCCCGGCCAGCTCCGCCACACAAGGTCATGACAGAGCCGCACGCGAGCTCCTGTCCATGGTCACACATTTACACGTGGACCCTGTTTGCTGTGGCACTCACCCTGGTCGGATTTCTTCAATATCTGGAACGAGATTGAGAAATTCATGTTTTCCTGCTCGGGCCAAATAGGGCGTCTCCACAGCTGGGACGATCTGAAACTGTTCGAACTCTGTGCAGGGACTGGAGGCCCGGGAATTGGCTTCTGGGGTCCTTTAAGAGAGCAGGTGGAAGAGTGACAGCGAACCTTTCTGAGCTCTCAATGATACAAAGAGCACACTGCCACCAGGTTACCCAAAGGGGTAACAAGGTTCAGGAAGGACACCCAGCCCCTCCCTGAGCTCAGCTGAGGAGAAGTGACTCTGAATTCCACTCCTGTGGAGGACCACCAGGACGCAGCTCCTTGGAAGAAGAGTCTTGGCTCCGTTGTGGCTAAGCCTGGCTCTATTCCCAGCATTCTGACGTGTCAGAGCTGGCTAGGACATCTTATCCCCCAGTGGGCGCTGAGCAGCGCCAATGGCTCTGCTGCAGTGCTGATGTGTGCTCGGTAGAGCAATGTGACGGGTCAGCGACGCCCCGCCTACAGCCCCCAAGCAGAATGTGCGAGCGAGCGAGGCAGGGGCTGGCTGGGACTGAGCTTCCAGAAAGCAACTACGGCGTCTCAGGGAATGAAGAGCGCACATCAGAGCCGAAGCACCTGCCCTGAACACGAGCTACATGCTCAGCCTGTGATTTCAGAGGACTCCGTCGCCTGCACACTGCACAGGTGACTGCAGGCCTCCTGCCCAGCCCGGCCCACAGCACTCACTCACTCTCGGCCACTCACGGTCACTCACCCTCAAGCCATGCCCCTCTTCACGAATTAATAACAACTCAGGCTCCGCCCTGGGTGGAGGCCGCTGTTCCAGCCAGCCATCATTCTAGCTAGACACAGGCTCCCTTGGCTCCCCGAAACTACAAATATGCCTTTGTGTCTTTATTTTGGCCATGCATTGCACTGAGGTGACAGACTGGAACTGCTTGCTGAAATGCTAACAATTGTTCCCTGGGATTACAAAATGAACCCTACCAGGCTGCAACAAGGTCCAGGAAGGGCTTCCAATACACCCTCATCCTTCTCGTTTACAACAGGCCGCTGATGAGCACCGAGCCACCTCTCTAGCCACCTCTCTTCCTCTCAAAGGCGCTCAGATTTTGAGAGAAATTCTGAGCCTGGATATGCAGGTTTCTTTAGTCCCATGAAAACCTATGGCAGTGGTGTGCAAACTGTGGTTTGGACTAAGAGCAGCAGGGTTTTGTTTTTTTGTTTTTTTTTTTTAATGTTTTATTTATTTTTGGGCCGGGGAGATGGCTCAGTGGAATAAGCACTTCCCTGGCAAGCGCAAGAACCTGAGTTCAATCCCCGGTTCCAAAAAAAAAAA